ATTTTTTCAAATAATTTCACCTCAGAAATTTTGCGGTGTTTATTTTACAAATGGTTTTTTAATGCCAAGTAACGTATAAGAACAGTACCAGCCTTGTTAAGAATGTGATGCTAGAGCAAACGCTTCTTTTCTGAAGTAGCACTATCTGCTATAAAATTCAGCTTTATCAGGACTTTGCCATAGCCAGATTTCAACTAGGCACCTGTGAGAAGTTTTTTAAGAATTAAGAACTTTAAAGATTTTTTGTTAAAGACTTTCTCTCAAGAGCTTTCAGCAGACTCCTTGAATTGTCTTCATCTTCTGCAACTTCTTTTAGCCAACCTTGAGTTTTAGAGTACCGGAAAGACTTCAGTTAGAAACAAAAATAAATTTTTTCAAGAAGTTAAACCGTACATATTAAAAAGTTTAATAATTTCATTTCGAATTGTTGTTTTTTTTTTTTTATCTAGTTGATATCAACGCTGACTTCGAAAACACGTTTTGAGCGAATAAGGAATTAGGTGGCAGTTTTGAATACGCTGATGAACAGCAGTGCAAATCGAGTTACGTGATTTTAACATCAAAATCTACCCTAACAGGTAAAAGAAACATCAGATTTTAAGTTTATATAATTTAGTTTAGAACTATTATACACAGCTGTCGTATATGTACCTTCTTTTATTAATTATGTCATCTTATAAGTTCTTTGAACTGTGTAGTCAAAAACATTAACAGATTAAGTTTATCAGTCTTGCACTACGAATACTGTAACTTGAGAGCACTGAATAAGTTGTGGTGTAAAAACTTGAAAATAAAAGCTAAATTTACCATATGTTGAATTTTTCAGTGAACCTAATCTCAACCAGTTGAGCATATGGAGGGCTAAAAGACAAAGAACAACAGACAGATAGGTCTGGTAAAAATGTAACAAATTCAGCCAGAAAAAAATAGCAGCAACATTTGAGAAAAATTTTTTTGATAATTACAGTTAAAAAACAAAAAAATCATTTTTTTATCTAAAATTTATAACGAGCAATTTATTAATAATAAAAAAAAATTTGCGAAAAAACTAACCAAAAAAAAACTTAAAAATTTGTAAATATGAAATGGCATTTTTCCAGAGATATTTTTACTGCAATTTTTTTCTCACTCAAATGTCAAAAACTGTGCCGATTTTAGGATCCAATCTTTATGAATATTTTAGGTTATTTTTAATCACTTTTTTTCAGACATCTTCAAACATTGTTTGAAAAATACACTCTATCTAATGGCAGAGCAGATAAAATTTTTTTGTTTTAATTGCACGACCTTTCTTAAGTGCTCAATAAACAGTTTTCAAAAAATTTGATTTTCAGATAATAGTGATGCTCAGTTATCAGATAACAGCCGAAAATAAGTTTGTAGAAAAATGGTTCAGAAATTATGCAGCAGGCTTTGAATGTTTTTCATATGCCTAAGATTTCTAGAAAACTGTTTTGTGATCTATGAACATACTTTAAAATTCTTTTAAGCTTTATTGAATAGGGCAATGTTCGCTGACTCTAAGGACTATAGAAATTCTTCTTTGAAATTAATAAACTATTTTTCTGAAGTTTTCTTAACTGTACTGATATACTAATAGTACTGACATATAAAGTTAAAAGAGCTTTGTTTATAATAAAGTAATAAATCTCATAACTTTTTCAACTAAAGTTTGGTACAATTTTTGTAAGAAATTGCTGAAAAAAATCTGGAAAAAAACTATCTTTTTTATAAGTTAAAAATGACTGAGTTTTACAGCACTTTCTCGTAATGCGGTAACAATTACTTTCCAATTAAAAAAATACTTTTGATTTTTTTAGAAAACGTTTTTAGTTTCTAAGTTTTGAAAGTTGATAAATTAGCGACAGTAAAACTAACTTACTGAACTTATATTATTGTAATTGAAAAACAAAAAAAGAACATATTAATAATTTTTACACCAAAAATCTATAATCAAAGGCTAAATTTTGAAAATTTTGTATATTACGAGAGTCCTTCAGAAAAACAGTTGGTAAAACTGTATGAAATGAATAAACGATTTAAAATAAGTAAAAAAAAAAAGAACTATTGTCTCTTAGTCAGATCGTAATTGATACAGTTTGTCTTATCGTATCAAAAGAAAAAAAATTTTATTTGCAGTATCAATAGTGACTATTTTTTGTCGTGTTTTTCATCAAAACTCTACTGTTTCATTAATAAATTTTGATCTACTGATGCTGAGTTATCGCAAAAAAAAAAAGTTTTCTCTTTAATATTAAGTCATCACTGGGAAAACAATAAACTAAAATTTGCCTCGGTGATTTGTAGAAATTTTGGGGTTCGATAATAGACATTCTGTGTTTCTGTGCTTTTTTTTTTGTTTAGAAAAAACCTTACAGAAGGCTTATACCCTATATCGTTGAACTTTTTTTCCGCAAATCTGTGATTTGTAATTTCGCAAGGAGTATTTTGTTTAAATTCAAGATGATTTCTGCATTTGTTTTTCTCAAAAAAGTTGTTGTCTGAAAAGTGGTGTTAATAAGAGTGAAGTAATTGATTATATTTAATAAAATTAACAAAAAAAAAATGCTTTATTTTTGTCAATGGTCGAATGGTTTGAAAAAAATGGATATTTTTCTTCGTCTCACTAAAATTTCGTTTTCTTTTTTTCTTGTACGAGTGTCGTTTACCGGTCATTATATTTATCCTTTTTTCTGTTTTTTATTTAAGTCTTTATTCTCTAATGGTCCATTTCATTATAATCAAAAAGATAGGAGATCAAATTGTTGATAGAAACAGAACTGCAATGCGCAACATTATTTTACAATAACTGTGGTCGCGGTATCTCAGACTGTATTATTAAAACACATTTTGTTTTAGCACTAATTCAACTGCTTCTAATTTCTTATTTTTAAAACTAATTTTTATTGTCTTACTAATGTTTCTTAATGAATAAATAAAGTTTTATTCGATTCTTTTTATATTACATTGTCACCTAATTAAACTTTAAAAGTTTTTACGACAACAAATTATTTACATTCTTACTGGAATTCCTGTAAAAGGTGTCACATTACTGTTAAGTTGAACTCAAAATAACTGAAATTTTTGATACTTATCAATATTTATAACTGTATTTGGCACTTTAAATAAGGGTCTGAGAGCCTGAAACTACAAAATTTTTTAAAATAATTGTTGTCTGGTTTTTGTCAGTCAAATGGGTTTGAAACTGTAGTAGCAAAACATATTTTAAAAATTATGAGTATTTCTTCGTTGGGCGATGCCTAATAGCTAAAGCATCGTGAGTTTTGCAGTGTCAAGGTTCTGTCTGATTCAGTTTATCGATGAGAAGAAAACTGTGAACAGGACTTGCAATTTAATTGAACTGCAAACTGTGAAATTAGAAATTTTAGTTGTAATAATATTTTAAGTTTTGCTATAAAGTTTGCTGCAATAGTTTTGCTTCTTTATTTTTTTTTTCCAAATATTGAAAAAAGTTGTCGATACGTCAGCTACGGAAACTAGTGACAATTCGGCTAAAATTCTTTATTTCCTTTAAGATTTTTTGATTGTCTCAGAAATTGTTATTTCAAAGCAATCAACGCTGTGATCTATGATTACGCTGCTAAAAGTTATTCAATTCATACTGTTGCAGTCTTTCAGGTTTCACTTTAAATAATTCACCTTAATCATTTCTGTAAAGTGAACAAAGTGCAGCAATGCTACCTCTTGGACTGGATTTCTAAATATTTGTTGGCAGCTTATTTCGCTTGTCCTCTAGTTCAAGCAGTCATATCAACTCTTGCTGTAAGTATATGTGTAAATCTTTTA